TTCCCCATCCGCCTCCTTTCTCTCCCCCCTTCTTTCTCCTCCTCTGGGGACGACGGCTTTGCACCACAGACACAGCCAAAATTCCAGCGGGGGCACATCTAATTTAACAAGCGAAGCTCTTCTCAAGGCCCACCCAAGCCAGATGAAACTGGGAAAGCAAGCTACAAAGAGGGGGCGGCAGTGGCTGTGTGGCGGAAGGTCATGGGGTGATGAATTGATGGGAGGAGAAGTGGAGGATCCTCCAAACCAGCATTACTGTTTGCAAGTACAAGTCACCCGCGTGGGGCGGGCCCGCAGGCAAGCGGCCGTCAGCTGCCGTGTGGGCGGCGCCTCAAGGGGCGCCAGTCGGTGCCAAGGCTGCCAGTGATGGCCAAGATGGAGTGGTCCAACTAGTACCCGATCCCGGCAGACTTGGGCGCGTAGATGGCCCAGAAGTTGGTGGCATCGGGGGAGGCCAGGTGGTCGTTCAGGTTCTCGATGGGGCCCTTCTTGGTCACAATGCCCTGCTCGCCGCAGGCGGGGGGGGCAGATGGCGGGGCAGGGTGAGGGCGAGGGCAGGAGAGAGCAGGAGCGGAGCAACTAGAGCGTCCACAGCAGGAGCAGAGCAGGAGCAGGGTGAGAACCCAGCCACGCATAAGCAGCCCAGCCCAGCCACCAAGGCGCACCTGGACAAAGAAGCCGAACATGGAGACCATGGCGAGGCGGCCGTTCTTCAGCTCCTTGACCTTCAGCTCAGAGAAGGTGTCGGGGTCGTCAGCCAGGCCCAGGGGGTCGAAGGCCTCACCTGCGGGGGTGGGGCGAGGGAGGGGCAAGTGGAGCGGGGGTGAGTGTGTGTGCAACGAACGGTGCGCAAGAGGGTGGCGCTGCTGCTTGCGCTGCACAAACACAGCAGCAAACAGAGGCAACAGGGGCGACAAGGCAGCGCAGGCGCGGCGCGTGGCAGCAGGGACCAGGCATGCGCGCGGCTGCTGTGCTGCTCACCGGGGTAGAGGGCATCCAGGCCCTCGCCGGCGGGGCCGCCGTTGACGCGGTAGCCCTCAATCAGGCCCATGAGGGTCAGCTGGGTCAGCAGCACAGCCACGATGGACTGGGCGTGGATCAGGGAGGGGTTGCCCAGGTAGTCGAGGCCGCCCTCCTGGAAGATCTGCGCGCCAGCCTTGAACCACACAGCCTCGCCGAAGCTGGCGACGCCGTTGTTCTGCAGCAGCTCGGGGGTCACGCAGCCCAGGGCGCCTGCAGGCGGGGCGGCAGGAGGGGCAGGCGCACACAAGGGTCAGCGGTAGGGAGCCAAGCGGAGCAAGGCTGCGGGCACCAGCGGCGACGAGCGGGGCGCTGCCAAGGTGCCGTGCTGCTCCTCCCTCGCGTGCATGCATGCATGTGCCTTGCTGCCACACACCGAGCATGGCCCAGCGGGCATGGATGACCTCCAGCTCGCGGTAGCGGGCAAAGGTCTCGGGGTCGGCGGACAGGCCAGCGGTGTCCCAGCCATAGTCACCGGGGTACTCGCCTGCAGCAGGGGGCGGGGCCAGCAGGGATTGAGCGAGAGGGGCGGCAGAGGCGGGCACCGGCGGCGGCAAAAAAGATAAGGCGCCGATCCCGCGAGCGCTGACGCGGCGGCTGGCAACTGGCGCGCGTGGCTGCACCGGCTCACCCTTCAGGTAGGAGGGGGTGCTGCCGGAGAAGGGGCCCAGGAACTGGGGGCGGTTGGGGCCGTACCACTCCACAGAGGCGCGGGTCACCTGGCGGGTGGCCTGCAGGCGGGAGGGGTTGGGCAGGCGGGGGAGGGGGGCGATCGGTGGGCGCGAAGCAGGCAACCAGGGCATCTGGGCTCCAGGCTGTGGCAGGGAGCAGCATCAGGGGCGGGGGAGGCTAGCCCGAGCGGGGCGGGGGTGGATAGCGCATCGTATCCGCACCCAGCCATGCCCCACCCGCCTTCCACACGCCCCCCGCACGCCGGCGCAGGGCTGCACAGGCTGGCCAATGGCTGCCAGGGCCCGGAGATGCGGCCAGGGGGCCGCAGCGGCTGGGGGGCGACCGAGGCCCAGGCTGCCAGACTCACCCGGCCGGAGGGCTTCACAGCAGCCAGACGCTGGGTCAGGGCGGCCTGCATGATGGCTATTGATGAAGAGGTGTGGAGTGGGGAACGAGATAACGGCGAGGGGGAGGGCGGGGAGGCCGGTTTTGATGGCTTTTCTCGCTTTCCTCCCGCTGATTCGCCTCCCCTGGGTCATCATCCACCGCACGCGGGAAAAAGCGCCCAGGATAGGGATGGGGCGCATCGGGGGCCTCGGATGCAGCCGGGATAATCCCTGCGAGTGCTGGAGCAGCGCTGCAGCCCCTGGCTGGCGTGCTGGAGCCGCGCAAGGCCCGCCGCCGCCGCTCCCGCCGCCACACCCTGCGCAGCCGGTGGGCTCCCAGGAAGCGGCGAGAGCGGGGCTTCGCAACGCCAGGCGTCGCCTGTAGGCTTGCTTGCCCCACTGGTGCAGCCAGTGCGGCTTGGTGTGTCTCAATTCTGCATGGGGGCCCGCCGCAGCGGGGTTGATGGCTGGCGCTGCAGCGCACCAGTGCTCGACTGGCTGCTGCTGCTGCTGCTGCACGGGCTGCTGCATGAAGAAGGCACCAGCAGCCAGGAGGAGGTGCCGTCCTGGGGTGAGAGAGACAAAGGTGGCGAGCGGAAAGCGCGCGTGTCGGGGCGCGGCGGCGCCCGTATGGAGGACGGGGCTGGGGCGTCTTTGTCCAACTGCACTCCGCAAGGGCAACCCTCTGCTGCCCTCCTCTCTCAATCCAATCCAACCAGCCAGCCTGCCGAACCTCCTCCCCGGATTTGGGGCTGCTCCCAGCGGCTGTCATCCCCTCCCCAAGGCCCCTCGCCTCCTCCACTTCTCCCATCTCAGCGTGCTCCCAACATCCATTACACCTCCTGGCTGTGCTCAATGTGAGCAGTAAACGTTTCAAAAGCGATTCTAGTGCACAAACAGCCAATCAAATACAGGCGTCGACGGGCCCACGAGCCGCTGTGCGGCGGAGCGCCAGGCGGCGCGCATCGCTGCCAGTGGCGGCCAAGGGCGTCGCCAGCCGCCAGTCACAAACTCAAGCTGCCGCCGCCCCAGGCAGGGGGGCTGTCGGCGGATGGCTCACGCCAGGGTGGAGGCAGAGCTGCAGGCGGGGAGGGGCGGGGGCGGGCGTGGTCAGAGTCCAGGCGTGGTTGAGCGCAGGGCAATACAGCCTCACAATGCCAGGCGAGACTGAAACGCAGCAGTGCAGCCAGAGAGCATCTCCTGCCAAGCTGCCAGCCACCCACTTGATCCAGAAGTTGGTCTCGCCGGGAGCCGCAAGGTGGTCGTTCAGGTTCTCGATGGGGCCCTTGCCGGTCACAATAGCCTGCAAAGGGGCGGGCAGCAGGGGCAGGCGGCGGGGCAGGGTGAGGGCACAGGGCAGGAGGGAGCAGAGCAGGCAGAGAGAGGCCAGCCAAGGCATCAGCGTGCCTGCCAAGGCGGCGCGGCGCACCTGGATGAAGAAGCCAAACATGGAGACCATGGCGAGGCGGCCGTTCTTGATCTCCTTCACCTTGAGCTCAGCCAGGGTGTCGGGGTCGTCGGCCAGGCCCAGGGGGTCGAAGGCCTCGCCTGCGGGGTGGGGCGGCAGGGAGGGGGAGCAGAAGGGAGCGTCAAGCGTGCTCGTCGGCAGCAGAGGGGGAGGAGCCCAGGGCGCCGACAACGGCAGGGCCAGCCCACCCCCGCCCCTGCTCACCGGGGTAGATGGGGTCGGTGATCTCGCCGGCAGGGCCGCCGTTGACGCGGTAGCCCTCGATCAGGCCCATGAGCACGATCTGGGTCAGCAGCACGGCCACGATGGACTGCGCGTGCACGAGGTTGGCGTTGCCCAGGTAGTCGAGGCCGCCGTCCTGGAAGATCTGCGCGCCAGCCTTGAACCACACAGCCTCGCCGAAGTTGGCGGCGCCGTTCTTCTGCAGCAGCTCGGGGGTCACGCAGCCCAGGGCGCCAAGCATGGCTGCAAGGGAGTGCGGGGTGGGGAGACGGAAGAGGGAGTGTGGGTCAATCCGCATGCATCAGCACGCGGGAGCCAGGCGGGCTGCACGACAAGAGCGCGCCCCAGGATTCTGCTGGCCCAGCTGCCTCCTCCCCGTGCTCAGGCTGCCTGCGCTGCGCAGGCCCGGCGGCGGCCAGACGCGCTGCTGCGCAGGCAGGCAGCGGGCGCGCGGCTGGCTGGCTGCTCACCCCAGCGGGCATGGATGACCTCCAGCTCGCGGTAGCGGGAGAAGGTCTCGGGGTCGGCGGACAGGCCAGCGGTGTCCCAGCCATAGTCACCGGGGTACTCGCCCTTCAGGTAGGAGGGGGTGGCGCCGGAGAAGGGGCCCAGGAACTTGACTGCAGGCGGGGGCAGGCGCGGGTGGTCAGCATATTGGGTGGCGGGCTGATCGTGAGGAGAGGCTGGCCGAGGCTGCAGATTGGGCATCTGGCGCTGCTGCATGCGGCTGCACTGCCAATCCCACAGTCTGCGCTGAGCTGCGTGGCTGGCCCCATTAGCGGCAGGCAGCGCGCAGGCGGCGCAGGCAGCAGCGCTGACGCACCGCGGTCGGGGCCGTAGAACTCGGCCGAGGCGCGGGTCACCTGGCGGGTGGCCTGCAGAATCAAACGGACCGGTCAGCTTGCGTGTGGCAGCGACAATTCGCACAGGGAGGGAGCGCAGGGCGGGCTCCCAGTATGGGTAAGAATTGGGTTCGGTGCCAGGCATCTGGGCGCTAGCGGCTGCACCCTGCCCAGAGCTGGCTGCAGCCGTCGGCCGAAGCGTGAAAAAGCAGACGGGGGGCGCCGAGGGCACCCCAGCCTCACCCGAGTGGGGCGCACGGCGGCGATGGAGCGAGCGACGGCGGCCTGCATGTTGCCAGAAGGGTGGATGGGGAGTGATTCCGAGGTGGCTGGGCTCAGAATAGCGCGGTAGGCCACACGCGCCGAACTTCAGCCCGTGCTTCGCTCTATGCTGTGACCCTCAGAATCTAATCTTAACCTTTGGATCCTGTTGACCAGAGCGCCGGCATTGACCGCCGCCACCGCCACCGCCCTGCCACCATTCACCTCCGCTGCACACCATCCACCAGCGCGCCAGGAAGGAAGGGCGGCGGTCAACGCCGCGGCCATGCTTCCGCTGTGCCAAGACTTGCTGCCCCACTAAGCCACAGGTGGCCGCTGCTTCTGGGAACCAAACATGCTGGTTTACATGCTGGTTTACATCGCAGACACGGGATGGATGGCAGGCAAACCACGTCACCAACAGCACGGGATGGGGCCGCCGGGGTTGGCGGCAGAGTCGTGCACCAAGAGCCAGCGGGCCCCCAGCCCGGGAGCTCAGCCCGCCAGGCATGGCCCAGCCAGCCTGCTCCCCGCCGCCGCGGCTCAGTCGGTCTGCATGGGGGCGGGCCCTGCCTGCGCCTGCGGCGCCGCCGCCGCCGCCGTGTCGAGCGCATTCACCGCCGCCTCTGACAGCAGGGAGCGGCCCAGGGCGGCTCGGTCGTACGGCTGGGCCATGGCGCGCATGAAGTCGCGCGCGATGCACAGCAGCATGTCTGTGGACAGGTTGAGGTGTGAGTCCTTGAGGTGCTGCGTGATCCACGCCGGCAGCTTGTCGCGCTTGTCGTGCCGCTGGTACCGCTTGTCTGCGGCGGGGCGGCGGCGGGGCGGCGGTGGGGCGCGGCAGCGGGGCAGCGCGGGCGCGGCACAGCAGGGCAGCCTCGCAGCAGCCGGCTCCCGCTGACGTGTGGCATGCTGTCGCACCCGCCGCTTGGTACGCATATACATGACACTCCCCCACACACCCACACCCCACATCCTGCCCCCCACACACCCGCAAACACCATGAGCCCGTAGTCGGCCTTGGAGCGTATGACGCGCCCCACGCACTGCGCCGCCTGCCGCACCGCGTCAAACGCCAGGTAGTCGTTCTCGCGGATCTGGAACGCCTCGCGCAGGTACTCCAGCCGCGCGCTGCGGGGGGCAGGGCAGGGGGTGGGTGTGGTGTGTACGGCGGGGGTGGGCGTAAGGAGTAGGTGCGTGTATGGGGGTGGGCAGAGTGTGGGTGTGTGCACGGGGGGGGGCAGGGGTGTACGGGGGTGGCTGGGGGGGTAAGAGCCGGCTGTGGGCAGCGCTTGCTGGCCCCCTGGCGCCGCACTGCAGCACCGCAGCACCGCCGCACCGGCCCCTGGCGGAGCCCAGCCACGCACCGGCGGCCACGCCGGCGCCCCGCACCACCACCGCCGCCCCACCCCGCACGCAGCGCGCCCTCACCCACCGCAGTATGCGTGAGAGGGTGTACTGGTAGGGCACACCAAACATGACCACGCAGCGGCCGTAGTGGCGGTCAAAGTCGATGC